CTTAAAAGTACACGTTAATTAATCTTGTTGGTTTAAATACATTTTGATATTGTATAACTAAGTATTGTAGTTTCTTAATTTTGTACAAAGCACTTCCGAGTGTACTCTGTTGCCTAAAATTCAATCTAACTCTACATTCAAACGGGTTTGGCTCTATCCGTGGGCTCCTAAGACCAAAACTTCTGTATAAAACATAACGTTATCCCTGTCATTATTTTTGACAACATAGAGATATCAATATGTTTTAAACGGAGATATTGAACTCAGAAACCCACGTTATAAACGACATGAGACTTACAATAAAATTTGTATTTAATCTCAATATGAATGTTCATTAAAACAGGCAATAAAAGAAAACCAATATGACAAAATGACGAAACATTTTATGGAACATATCAAAATCGTTTGCACACAAACGGTTATTTTCTCACACTGCAAGTCCACGTTGTAACGTCAATCTGGAACTAGTAACACTTTCTCGGAAATCTTTGTAAGAACCGTTAAGGTCTGTTGTAGTTATGTAGCATATAGGTATGTCGACTTTAGAGAGAATCGCTTACATTTTTGCGGCAATTAAAGTAAATATTGCTTTCGTATTTTGAACATTAATTATGAATTTTAAATAACCTTAAAATATCTAATTATAGAAATTGAATCCTTCCGAAGTAAAGGTTACTTCTTACAAATATTTAAAAAACAAATTTTAAGATAAGGCCGGCAACGCATCTGCGGTTCCTCTGGTATTGCTGATGTCCATGGGCGTCGTTGAACACCTCGGTGTTCCCGCTGCTCGTTTGCCCCCTTCTGTTATAAAAAAAAGATGTATGGACATCTCACGAACGGCTTAACGGATCCACCTTAAATTTGGCATAGATGTAGAAACATAGTCTGGGATAATACATAGAATTATTTTTATTATTCATGCGCAATCTGAATCGAGAAATGCGTTGATATAATCTTTTTTAAACATTAAAACATAGCTTTGTAACACAAGCCCTAAATCTATATCCTAATTAATTTCTTGACTTTGAGAATATTTTTTTTGCTATGAAGAATAAAAAGATATTGCATCTATACGTGTGATTGTGTAATGTCTATTGAAAGTGCATTTATAACATTCCTGCGTTGTTATAGCATCGAGCTCATTGTTTACGTTGTAAGATGACTGATTCTGTGTTTACGCGAATGCTTGATGAATATATCCAACTCAATCAAACTGTCATTTTATAACCCGTTTTTTAGTTCCGAAGCAAACGTAGTTATTATTAACTAGCTGTCACCTGAGACTTCCGCGCAGAATTAAAAAAAAACTTGATAAGTAGCTTATGTGTTATACCAAATAATGCTCAACATCTATGTCAAATTTCAGCGACATCCAAGCAGCCTTTCCGAAGATACCTTCTAACAAACATCCATCCATCCATCCAAACATTCGCATTTATAATATTAGTAAGATTATTAATTTTATCGTTACAAACGGCCTTGACCCCATTATGATCCGTTTATATATCAATTTACTTAAATTTTTCCTATTTTCTAAATATAATTAACAACAATTTCATATTAACAATTTTTTTAAATAAATGTTTATAAATATCTTTATAAAGAGATTGTTATAGCTATTAGCTATTATTTAAGTTAAGAATGTCCAAGTAAAACGTTCTTGGTATTCATTAAGTTTTTTGGCCAACAAACAACAATACAAAAGATCAACTTCCGGTGCAACTTTAAGGCCTTCGCCTCGATGAAAGGCTGCGTCGGCAGTTGCGAAATACGCTTCGCGGTGCCATGTTTGAAATACTACCTCAAACTATTAATAGTGTACGCGTAAAACCTTTGGAAATAAGGTACAATAAATAGGATACTTATGGCCCAAGGAGGTTTTATAAGCGCGTCCGGAAAAAATAATATTAATATTTAATATAAGCTGGGAAACCTAAAATCTCGTATTAAGTAAGTTTGCATCAAATATTTGTGTTTTATTTAAAAAAAGCACTTATTTTTGCTTTTAAGTTCTACTTTTGCTTGCAACAGGTATAATTCAGAGAAGGTTTGAAGAAATCTTATTACAGGTGCGTTACTAAATGTCGTAAAAACAAGCAAATGAATAAAAATGTAAATAGAAAAAAAAAATATTTGTGATCTTAGCCCATAATTTATAGGTCAACGGCGTTATCTATACTTATATTATAAAGCGGAATAGTTTGTTTGTTTAAACGCGCTAATCTCAGGAACTACTGGTCCGATTTGAAAATTTTTTGTTGTTAGTCCATTTATAAAGTAAGGCTTTAGGCTATATAACATTACGCTGTGACCAATAGGTTTTTTAATTCCGCGCAGACAGATTCGCGGGCGACAGTTAGTTTCAAATATATAATTGTTATTTAACATTACAAGTAAAGTAATGAGTTCATATTCTGCGTCATATTACATGTCTATAAATGAAAACGGCACGAGCCACGTTGATTCGAATTAAACTGTAATGAATTGCTTGTTTCGTTCAGAATGCATAGATAAGAATTATTCATAAACGCGTTCCTCTGCGCATAATAATCTTCTAATCAGACACGCTACTCTAGATGCTATTACAATGGAATAAAGGCCAAATTCGCACGGAATTAGTTATCTATTTTGTTCCAAAATGCACTTACGCATTACGTACTGGCAGTTATTCCCAATGACACAGTTCGGCTGCAATTAAGATCACACTTTGTTAATGATATTTCTTCACGCTTTAACCTTGACTAGTGTCGGTACTAACAGTACAACCATTCCATTTATTAGGCGCACTTATTCAATAAATAAATCGACATTTGTATCCATTGCGGTGCAGATATGTGAACAGTGTATTTATTGTAACAGAAAACAAGAATTGGATGATATATTGAAATGAATGTCGTTCAGTATACAATATATTAGTAGAAGACGTATGACAGCGATGAAGCGACCTACAAAATGTTCGCTTAAAGTAGGTCGACACAAACGACAATCGGCCCCAACGTTTATAATTAAATCATTTTTTTGTTGCAAGATAGAGTGTAGAACTTTTGTATACAATATTGATAGTAATAATTAAAGAGTTATATGTAAAATCGATTTCTTTCAATGAAATAGTATGGCTAGGAACGAAATGAAGAAGCCTTACAAGAAATTATGCAATAGTTACACTTCTTGAACAGATTATGATGATTGATGTTAAATTAAAAATAAACTACATGTTTTCTTTTTTCTTTTTTTTAGGACTAGGCGTCACAGGTGACCAAAACTATGAAATAAAGACTCTCTTTGAATTAAACTAAATAATAAATAATGCTTCTTTTTTCTTCAATATTCATTGTGATGATGTGTTTATGAGTGATAGTTGCCTGCGACTTCGTCCGCGCGAAATAAAAAAAAATAGTAATAACTATAGCTTATATCAACCAGGGACAGTGTAGCTTCCCAGCCGTAGTAGTTTTTTAAAACGGTTCAGTTGTTTCGGAGCCTATTTAATGCAAACAAACAATCAAATCTATTTTATCTGTGGTAAAGATAACAATTCTTGTGTACGGACATACAATAAATATAAAATGTTATAGTTTTAGACCGTCCGTGGCTCAGGGGTCACTTGACTTGTAATCTACAGGTCCTGGGTTCGAATCCCGCCATGTACCAATGTCTTTTTCGGTTTCCGATTCAGATATGTACATTTATAAGACGTTCTTATGGTAAAGGAAAACATCGTGATGCAATCTGCACCTATCTGAAAATAAATTCAAAGATATGTGTGAAGTCAACCAACTCGCACTTGGCCAGCTAGGTTGACTATGGCCTAATAGGCTCCGAGCCCCGGTGGTGACGTACAGTGAGCTGATGATGATATAGTTTTATATCTATAATTTTAAAATAGTTTATAACTAGAATTCTTAATATTCTGTAGCGATATTGGGATGTTAGTAAATTTTAATCTCCAATTAGCCAATCATCTGTCGCCTTGAACTCAATACGTTTGAATTTATTGCTATTATCTTGTATTTCTTGTAACAGTCGAGATATCAATACTTCAAAGAAAACATAATCAGGTAAAATAGTACATACTAAGGGAATGTAATTGGCAATTTAACATTAAATTACATTGTCTCAGTTTTTCTTAAGGGAGTGAAAAGGATTACAATACTTTGTATAGAAGTGTCTCGAGAGTAGACATTATTGAAAAAAAAAATGTATGGTATAATCGGCATTTTATTAAAAATAAATTAAATATATATCATCGAAAAAGTTTGTATGTTGTAAGATTTCTTTTTACAATAAAGACGCAAAATGTTTTGTTTTTAGTTCTTACGTGGATAAGCGTGTTACGTAAGATTAACTGCTCGACTTATGTTGCGATAAAAGAATTCAAACTTTATCCACTATTTTCTTGTATTTTTTAGCTCAGTAGTAAGTTTGGCTGTTCTACTTGTTAATTACTATTTGTCCTCTTGAGCCGCGAAGACTAATTTGCATAAAGACTGTGAATTTGCTATTTTATTGGTATTATGGTAGTAATAAGGCAAAAAGAAATTGTTTATTTCACTTATTAGTTGCAGTACAGTATAGTTTCAGTCGTCTATATAGATTAGAAGAATCTTTGCTATAACTGTATAACACGATATTAGTTAATATCAACGACTATGTCCAAAATATTTTTACTAACAATAGCTTTAATTTTATTAGTGTTTTACTATTCGAATAATCCGTACAAAGTTATAACGCGGCCACGTTCAATACATCGAATCAAATTCTTCAATAATGACGTGGTTACATACACTTTCCATTTTTAAACCAGCTGTATATTGTATCTCATAAGGCAAGCGAGCTGCGAAGTGTCTCACGACACACGACACTTTACACTTTACGCTGTGTATAGACATTTACATAGAAACAATCGAGTGTCCACATGTGTAGAGCGTCAAGACACTTAGTTGCAAATATAGTTGCGGTGTCGCTGCCGTGGAGACAGGACGTGTGGAGTGTCTGACAGAAGTGTCGCAGTTTTTAAACCTGCGCGATTTATTGCTACAGCAATGAAACCACGTACGTGGCCTGCAGAAGAAATAAAGTCTTTAATTTTGTCTTATGAATCGCTGCCTGAACTATGGCAAGTATCAAACCCCGATTATAAAAATAGGGTAAAGAAGTCAACGGCTGTAGATAGTTTGGCGGAGCAATTTAATACAACTGCATTTGAAATAAATAGAAAATTGCACAATTTACGAACGCAATTTAATAATGAATTAAGAAAACTAAGAAAGAAAGGCACAGATGAAAATTGTGGTAGCAATTGGGAGTACTTCACAAGTTTAAAATTTTTAATGCCGAATATCATACCAGGAAACGATACACAGGGTGATTTGGTGAGTCCTTTATCAATGTTAACTTATGTACTGCCAAATTACCCCGAATACAGATAATACAAGACATATTAAATATCTTCTTGGAAAAATAATAAAAAAATTAATAATTTTCAGAATTCATCTTTTACCAACAACATTTTGGAATCACCAGAATCGACCAGCGTCAATACAAAATCCTCTCGACGGATCTCTAAAAAACGGAAGAACGAAGACGAATCTTTAGACCGAACGTTAAACGTATCAGATAAATTAGATGATGCCGCCACTTTCGGTGATTTTGTAGCTGCTGCGATACGGAATATGAGGAGTGATGCTCGTAAAAGAGAATTAAAACGTAAAATCCAACGAATAATTCTTGACATTGAAGAAAAGGATGAAGCTGATCAGTATTCAGTTGCTTCTGTTTCACCTGAGTCTTGTGCTTCATCAATTTTCATCAAAAATTCGCGAAAATCCCGGCAAAGGCGTTTCGATTCATGGCAATAGAATTATCGCTCTGAATTTTAGTTTAAAAATACTTGTAGTAGAATATAATTATCTTACTGCTATACTTAAATATCACTAAGTGTGACCCTTAACCATAGTTTTAGTAAGGGTCTGACATTAAATACGAGTAACTAATTTAGTTTTTAAAATACTCTGCTCACTATTACATTAGTAAACAATTTAAAAGAAAGTCAAATAGTAATCACCCCTGCTCCCGTGGGTGTCGTGAGAGGCGGCCGAGGGAATAAATAAAGAAAATAAAATTGGGGTTGGGCGTTCTTTTGTGCTAGTATTATAATGCGGTTGCTTAGCCCGCATCCGATGCCCACTGACATTTACACCTCGTATGGGAAATCATTTTAAACTTTGATGTATTGATGAATACTTTGGAAAATATAGATGTACTATGTTACTATATTTTAGCAACAAATAGCTTCATACTTTTAGCTCCGTTTGGTTTATTAACGAAAAAATTTATATAATAGGTTAGGATTTATTAAATTTTGAAATTTTGTTCACCACTATATTTTTAAACGTATAAAATATACAACAAGCAAAGATAAAGTAACGTGTAAGATTATAAATAAAATCATACCTCAGATTAAATTTAAAACAAAGAAAAAATATTGTGTAAATGTAAGAAAAGATACTAAACTTAAATTTTAATCTGTACCATGCTCACTTAAATCTTGCTAAAGATAAAATTAATCCGTAAAAGCAGGGGAGAGTGCTACGACATCTCGACAAGGGGCGTGCGGGGGGCGCGGGGGCGAAGCACGCAGGGGTCGGAATGCATCGACCCGGTAAGGGAACCGATCTTTGCGGAGGGTTAGGCGGGAAATCGTTGTGTATTTTTATGTTTCGATACTTGTCTCTTAAATGTTATAAACCTACGAGACCATAGAAAAGTAATCTTATCTTACTAATATTATAAATGCGAAAGGATGTATGGATGGATGTGTGTAAGAAGGTATCCAGAACAACTGCATGGATGTCGCTGAAATTTGTCATAGATGTAGAGTAGAACATAGTCTGGAAGAACATAGGAGACATATAAGAATAAGAAGATAAACCTAAAAAAATTCTCGATTAAAATTCTGTTCTAGTCTGATAGCGATTTTTTTGTAATTCTCACACTTAAAATTCTGATTAAAAATATTTATTATCTTTATCTGCAGGATTGCGCATAATAATTGTATACCAGTATTCATTTATAATTCAACATTGCATCAAAACGTTTTCCTCGGTAATTTTTTGCACAGAGTAACACACAGACAGACCTTTTACCTTTATAATTTTATCAAGGAAGTATAGACAATAGCCGATAAATTACGTTGTGATTTTTTTTATTTATAAGCAAAATACAGTAAGATTCATATAAAAAGAAAATGGGTAAATATAAAATGTATCCGCTACAACAAACTAGTTTTATATAACGGCCACAATTTATCACTCATTACTTCATACGGTGCGGGACAGAGATACAAGACACGGAATATATATCTGTCTCATTTGTACACTACTTTTACCAGTTTTCTACGGAATATGGATGTTTTATGTTATATTAAAAGTGTTACAAATTTAAACGAAAGTTAATAAAAGTATAACTTAATAAGAACTTTGACTTTAGACTACTCTAACTCCACTAATAATAATTTGGATTTGGATGGATGGATGTTTGAAGGTATCTGCGGAACCGCACAATCGATGAGATTTTGCACAGATGTAGAACATAGTCTGGAAGAACATATAGGCAACTCATTATTTTATCTTATATCTTTAAATGAGCAATTCTTGTGTATATGTATAATTGGAATCTCGGAATCGGCTCCAACAATTTTCATAAAATTTAGTATATAGAGGGTTTCGGGGGCGATAAATCGATCTAGCTAGGAATCATTCTTAGAAAATGTCATTTTATTCGTGTTTTATCGATAATCAACTTAAACATAAACTTAACTTTTTCTATCGGTAAGATCGAAAAATATTATTCATATTTCATCATTTTATTAGTAATTCGTACTTAAATACAATTTCCAAAAAACCCAATTTTAAAAAAAATACCACGGTCTCATCCAGGTACTTTTTTAATAACGCGCGGACGGAGTAGCGTGCGACAGCTAGTATCTTAATAAGTATAAGTATAACTTTAAGTCATAATTATTTTAAAAAGTCCACAATAATGTTCAAATGACCTTGAACCAATCAACCTTGACTTAATTATAACATTAGGTCATAAAATAATAAAACAAAGTACACAATTAAAAGAGATAATAAACCGAAAAAAAGCGTATCAAATCTTTTATTTAAATCGGTCCCAATCTACGAGTTATGATAATTAAAGTGTTGTTTCTCTTTCTAGCCGCATGGTGTCGCCATTTGTCATGTCAAAGGATGTTGTGGTTTTAAAAAAAATAAACGAATATAATAGACCCATGAATACGCATCAGAAAAAATATTAGCATAGGCGGAGTGCCGCATAAAATCCCGCTATAATCATACGACGGTAACAAAAATTTTCTTTTAGCAACAAAACCCTTCCATTCACGCTCCGGTGTTTCAAAAGGAAAAATGTCTTGTAGTTTATATAAAATAAAACTTACTATAATACATTTATTTAACATTAATATTTATTATTTATTTTTAACTTTAATACCATACTTATAAAATTATCAATATGAACTTTTAACTACATAATGGGACTGTACGATATAAGTTAAATATATTGCAAAATGATTTTAACGAAAATTATCATTATATGTATTTGAAACGGGAGCAAAAAATGTTTTAGTATCTACTAAACTCCCGCGACTGCGCCCGCGCGAAATTAAAAAAAATTAGCCTATGTGTTCTTCCAGACTATTCTCCACATCTATGCCAAATTTCAGCGAGATCCATGTAGCCATTCTGGAGATACTTTATAACAAACATCTATCCATCTCAACTTTCGAATTTATAATATTAGTAAAATTACTTATGTAACAATTTTAAAGCATTTAGCATAGTTGCCTCTGAACCTCGAAAACGTAATCAACTATTAGCTTCGCTCATATTGAAGGATAACGTTATAGGGCCAAGGTCTTTCTTTGTTCGTAATTCATGTTTAACTAACGTACAACATAGTACAAGAGTTTAAAAGGTCTTTTATTATTTTATTGTAATCCCTAAAGGTTTATTTACCTGCTTTCATTGTTGTAGCACAGAGTTTGGCTCTATTTGCCTTATTTTGAAGCTATATTATATATAAGAAACAAATATTTAGAATAACTGATTTCTCAAATCTCAATTGAATAAAGTAGAAACTTTTTAGAGCTGTCGCCACATCAATATCTTACTTTCATTAGACTAATTTTACGCGATCTTTATTTAAATTTTAATTATTTCTCTTCTACGTGGCATAGAAACTTGTGTTTAACTGATTTATAAGCATGTTGACAATTTATTTCTAGAGCGTAATGAGTGTAGAAGTAGTGAGATAGGAAATTCGTAAGGCGTGGTTAACCTGAATAAGGGTGAACACAGCGCCACCCACAACCCCGACCCCGCACGAAGTATACTCTTCTCTCTAACATTCAAATATTTCATAATGTTTGTTATTTAATAAACAATATTCCGTAATTATCTATGTTTGAACCGATTCCAAAAACAAAAAGTTTCTTAATTCGTCTGTTTGTTTTTTTTTTACTTTTGTCACTTCTTAATCCTGCTTTCGGTTGTCTTATTTTCATTTTTTAGTTCGAAAGATAAATTATATAATTTTTTAATTTTCTCTCATTACTATAAACATGTATTGAACCTATAAATTACTTTGGCTAAATCTAATAAACGACCACATTAACTAAATTCGCATGTGTTGGTGAATAGCTGCAAAAACCACAGGTCAAAAATAGTCTAACCATAAATCCCTTTAAATCCTAGTCATTTAAATACATCTGACTTCTGTCTTTATTGTAAAAAAAATCCTACATTTTCAAATACTCTTTTGAAATTTTGAAGTCTAGTTACATCGTTATACAATACTATATAATAATGAACCTTATTGTCCTAAGAATAAGTCTTAAAATACTTTGTATTCATAAAAACTTCATGTTCAAGAAGCTTACGAGTTTCTAGTACAGCTAATATCTTTGTTAAGTATAACTAAAGAAAATGTTTTTGTTTATAATCAACACTTCTAGTACAGCTAATATCTTTGTTAAGTATAACTAAAGAAAATGTTTTTGTTTATAATCAAAACTTTTGGAATTAGGTAAATATTAACAGCGAAGCGGTTTTACGATTATTATACAATGTTTTAAAATTCCCTGTATTCTAAATAACAAAATTATAAGCAACATCAAATTTGGATAGAGAATTTGGCGTGTAATAAAAAGTTCCAGTGTAAAATGGATTATATTTCTACTAAAGTTTAGCTAAACTGTTGTCGTTGTCGTACGTGTGTTTTTCTAAAACAACTACTGTCTTTTATAAACTAAAATATGCTAGAAGTAGAACTATTTTAAACGTTTTGAACAATCAACTGTTACTTAAATAATCGATGCACCAACTTTTATATTCTGGAAAACAAAACAAACCTACAAATTTCTAACGCTTTATCAATCAAGTTTTTTTTTATCTACTAGAACCCAATAAAACGGACGAACATACAAAACATTATAATGCTTTGATATCGGCGAAGGAATAAAGTATCACGTATTCATCAGTTCCAAATATAAAAAGAAGAGGACCAAGGTAAAGTCTGCAGTGAATCATTAGGAAGACTTGGCAAGCCTGCCCCGAAGCGCGGAGTATCCTCATTTGTGTAAGAGCTTGTCTTAGCACAATGTATGCAGGACTATTTTATCTAAAATCATAATCTAAAATCGCGGCGGTGTTTTGTTTTTTGTTCCTTCGTCCCCGAAAATACAGTTTTATTATCATATGTTAAATATTTATTCTCAAAGATTTGTAATGAATAAGTAATGAAGTGGATAAATCGTTTTTTATATTAACGACGTTAT